GGGGGGGGGGGGGTTCTCTCTTCACTTTTTACCTGTTCTGTGAAGGCCAACAGCAATGGTGAATATAACTCCTGGCCAACTGTACGACGCCATTTAGCACCTTCACCTATTGGGTCAATTCTAAGGTAGAGTTTTCCTTGAATCTGGAAATATCACATAAACTTGTAGTATTAGTAAAAGGTAAGCTAGCAATATGATGGTAACCCGAAATCCAAGTGGGTTAGGAAGGGGATCCATTGATGCATTGGAGGCAATTATCATTAGGAGTATATGTGATATAAAATAACTTCATTTGTATAAGTAAATCAGCATTAGTTCTGTATTAGAAAGTGCACGGTGGCAGTTATTCATGGAAAACAACTGATGGCAGTTATGGATTCGGATTATATCAAATAGTAGGGTGTGTAATTAGGAAAGTGTGTTGTTATTTGCAGTTTGTGGGCAGAGAATACTCGGTGCAGGAGAATTTTATCTTTGGGGCAGCGAGTATATGGCCGTATTATGTATGATTTCTGTTTCCAGTATTCTATTTTATTAGTTTATTATCAATTAGTTTTGTTCTACCATTTTGGTCCAACCTTTCAGTTTAGTAGGAAGGAATATCAGAGGCCAGCAGGTTGATGGCTAGAGTTTCTAATCATGCAGATTTATTAGAGGAAGTGGAAGGATTGTGAAATGATGTGGTGCAAATGGATGAGAGGATTGGATGCATGGAAAGGCTTCTCTGTGAGATGCAACGGCTGTTCACAATTTGCATCTCACAAAACCGACTTAGGGCTAAATTTGGGAAGAGAATAAACTAGTCTGTGATCCCATCTTAGAATTTGGCTTAGGGTCTGAATTAACTCACAAAACCGATATGTAAAGTGAAGATTGCATACACCTTATAAGCATTACTTAGGCCATATCTCTAGGTGAGGTGAAACTAAACACACCCCTCACACCCAGTACAATGAAGGTGTTGGAGGCTGCAATGAAGGCAGCCCAAAGAGGGCACAATTAAGGTACGCTAGGGGTGATAAAAATTTAGGTTATTCTGCATTAGAAACTGAATGATCCCAGTTATTCATAGAAAATAATAACTGATGGAAGTTATGTATTAGGATTATATCTAATAGTATGATGCATAATTAGATAAGTGTGTTGTTATTTGCAGTTTTTTCGTAGAGATACTCTCTGTACAAGACTTTTGTCTCTAGGACAGCAAGGTTATTGTTGTATATGTAATAATTCTGTGTTCAGAATTGTATTTTGTTGGTTTATGGCTTTATGTTCTATCATGATAACTGCAAATTTTATAATAAACCCTAAATCTTTGATGTATGTTGCATACACATCAGGATCCACAGGTAAGAAAATCCTATGAATGAAGAGATCAATAAAATAAAATGTGTAATTGCACTTAGAAAGACAGTATCCATATCTCTAGTAACAAAAGTTAATAAAACGAGATCTTCTCTGAGCATCAGCAAAATGTCCTCACAAAGGCAAGACATAACCAGAAATCATTATGCAACCAGTGGTAAATGGATTTGTTGGAAAGATATACTTAACCGTTACGCCCTCGCACTTATTAGCAATGCAAGCTGTTTCATTGAGTACCTCACCTACACCTCTCGCATCATCATGAAGCAACCTCCTATCAATATAGAACCAAACCACAGAACAAGGAAATGTCAATCATTATTCATTATCTATATCCTATGTAGTAAAGTGCAAAAGCAACAACTTTAAGTCGATTGAGATGAATGACAAATATAACCAACCTGTGGAGCATCAGCTCCATTTGGCCATCTTCCAAGCTAGAACCTCCAACTGAACGGTCCACCAACACTGAGAATTCCATACTACTATCTTGCACATATATTCCTAAATTAACCTGAAAGAATGGTGAGAAGTATAATATTTACTAATATCCATTTGAAATAGCAGATGAACTAAAATACAGAAATATCTGTGAAACAAGTCAACAGGCATAAAAAATTTAAAATAAATAAATAAATGAAACTCATGTTACAAGTGAAACACTAAGAGCTCAAATCAATAATTGACATTTTAAATAAAAATATAAAAAGAAAAAAAAATTCATGAGAAGAAAATTCATTTTCTCCTGGAAATAAAAATCTAGTAGCAGTAGCAGATTCGCAAAAAAGTCGAAAAATAAGAATGTACCAGAATTTAATATAAACAAAAGATAGAAAGATAGATGGTGACTGGTGAGTCTTCAATTTAATGAAACATACCGGGTAATAGTTTCCAGCTATGGGTTGGTTCACTTGTAGATCCCAGTCTGTCCGGAAATCTCGAATCTGCAAAACAATTTTTATTTCAATCGAAAAAGAAAATTCATTAAGGATGGAAAAACAGGGAACAAAGCTAGAGGATAAGATTTCCTCTCAAATATAATGCTAAAGAAACACCTAAAACTAGAGATTGAATCATGTAACAAGGCCTCTCAGTCTCTCTGCATGTCTAAAAAAGAAAAATGAAAAAAATGATCAGTAAAATACCACAAACAAGTTTAAAAAATAACCCTGTCCCAGATGTTGTCTAGAATGTTTTCTGGAAAATTCTAGCATTCATTTCCAGCCAAAGTCATCAGAGAACAGAGAAGATAGAGAATGGCCACAGAATTTTAGCTTCTTAATAGAAACCAAAACCTAATTTGATAAAGAAAAACTGATTAGGACAGACCCTACTCTCAAAAAACTACTAAATACTTAATTCCCTGTTTCCGAACTAGAGGAGGATAATGTACATGTGTTAGGAGACAAAGCAGTGAGAGGCCTACACTTTTGTAGAGTGCCATCAGTGTTAAGGTTTTCCTATTAATTATATTGTATCTTCCTCATCAAATATATCAGAAGTCTTAAACTCAAAATTAGAATAGTTTATCACAATATAAAGGCCAATAGAGTTAACACTACAATCTATATGTCTATATAATTTATAACAGAAAGATAGTAAACAAATTTAACACACCCTTTTAATGAAGTCACGTCCATTAGAATCTGTGTAGAATGTCTTGTTGGTCTTCATTGTAGTTTTAAATTGAGTAATAATTTCTTTCCCAATGCCATCATCCACAGGTATAGGCCCAACCTACATATGTATAGATAAATTTTGGATGCAACATTTCAACTGTTTCTGAGCAATACAATAGAAATGAAACAATCATATGCTCTTCAAATCATATAACATTTTAGGAAACCTACTGTGAACTCAATTTCAGCATGCTCTTTTGCCTTGAATATCCTCGTAATCTGTATACACATAAAACAAAATAAGAGTTCCAAGCTTAAGCTGCGTAGAAATAAATGATCACAAGATATATATGTTTTTATTTTACTGAAATTTTGGGGGGCAGGGGGTGCTGCAGGAAATGGGAATGATGTGTGAATACTTGTAGGAAAAACAGTTCCTGTAATGGTATTTTAACCATAATTTACCTGGGATACCCATGGATTAAGCTGTTGATGTACTTCATCCAATATAGGACCACGCAGGACAGTCAAAGATTCCTGAACACAAACCATACAAAATAAACATCATAAACTATTCTCTGGATTGGTCAAACTAAAATTATCAGCTGTTGAATGTTCAAGAGACAAAAGTTTGTAACCTGGTGATTTGATTTAATGGGAAATGAGCCATTTGGACGGAAGACATATGCCCCAGAAGCCTTAACAAAAACATAGTTCCCAATCAAACAAATATTTTAATTATTTTCATTTAAGAATATTATACATTAAAGTAAAAAAGGTGGTCTTATCATGATGCTAAGTAGAATATAATGCACGATAAAGGAAAAAATGGAAGAAAAAAAGAACACAGGTACAATCTGTAGCATTGGGTCAATCCTTTGATTGACAAATGCAACATTTATCCTACATCATTAAGGGAAAGTAGGCATACTTTTTTATTGTTTAAGAGTTATTTGTTAGGTTATTGAGAGTGCATAGGCTTGACTCCAGTGTACTTTGTACTGCATGTACTACAATCTCAACCTAGTATTATATATGCATAGGGAGACTATGCTATACAGATCATCCATCAGAACATAATTCTTTTCTCTCCTCTTTCTACATGGTATCATGAGTATACAAGGGCAGTCACCAATCATCTAGGGTATCCGCTTTCCACCAGGGCTACTGGAGGGTCAGAAAATTTGTATGGTGTTAAATTCCTAATAAAGCAACCAACCAGATCTGAAAACCACAGGTTTGGCAACAATCGTGTATGTGTTGTTCCAGACTCCAAAGTGAAACAGCTCTCATTTTGGTAACAGAGGAGTATCTTGCTGGTCTAAGGAAAGACCAACCATTCTGGGGGCTTTTCATCATTGTTGGTGACATTTTTGAAGCAAATCAGACAGTTTTTTGGTGCTGTTTGGGGAAACTGTTTTTATGCAGTTTTTGGGCTGTTTTACTGTGTTCTCTACATTTACAACAGGAAATACTATACCAATCTGAATGTGTAACAACTAACAAAGAAATTACATAAACTGGCTATGACTACCAAATATAAAACATGCACAGTAGCAAAGACAACTATATTAAAATAAAAAAAATAAAAATAAAAATAAAAATAAAAAAAACTTCTTCTGAACAACTTAATTGAAGATTAAGGAAATTGATATTCAAAAGATAAAGAAATTTCTGTGAATATATATATATATACCTGAGGATCTTTATCGGTCCCATCATTTCCAGAATAATAATTGTATGATTGTTCAACTGATGTCTTAACCTTCAACCAAAACCAAAAATAAGAAACTTCAGTGTTAATAACTTTATGCTTAAGCTAATTAAACTTTGAAAATGTTGGCATCATTTATCAGATAAAATCTGATCTTGGAGTATATTGAGAAGATTGCAATTTGCAAGAAGAAAACCTGATAAATTCATATTGAAAAACTTACCAGAGTTCTACTGTTAACATACTGAGCTAGTTTTCCTTCATCTGCTGTATAGAGTAGCGTTAGATTCCCCTGTCCAACTTCTATGCTTTTATTATTATTAGCACTTCCTTCTGATCTGTACATCTTTGATATAGTAGAACTATGACCTTGTCATTCAAAAAGTCATAAAAGTTTACTTAGTGTTATCTTCAGTCCAAGTTTACCAGTACAGAAGACTACAGAGACTAATAAAGTTAAGAACAAATTAATATGATATATCACTAACATGACTGTTTGGAGCTTGACACTATATAGGTGCTGAAACCAAGGGGAGGTACAGACACTGGAAATGCAAGCCAATACTTGAGTTCGTCACCTCCAGGAGATTTTCCTATATATGCTCTGACATAATGTTTTCTCATTGTCAAAGTAGCATTTGACAGTGGAAGAAGCTGAGACTCAATTTTCTTCCCAGCAAAATCCTGGACAAAAACCTGTCCAGTAGAAACCTGTGACAAAAATGTTCTGGAGTCAGTCACATAAAGCATAAATTAGGGTCTAAAGTGCTTGAATAGTTATAAATAATCAGATTAAAAAGCATTAAAATTTTAAAATGAAATAGAGACATACTAATGCCTGTGGATCCCTCAATGAGCTCATTTCAGTCAATCTTTAAGCAAGTATTAAAATAGAAGTATGCTTTTTCTCATCAATCATTTTTTTAAGTGTTGAACTCATTGTAAATCCTTTTAATGTGCACAATAAATAAAATTGCAGTGCTTCAAGAGGCAAACAAATAGCTCAAAAGGATAAAATTTGCAGCAATCAGTGAATTAATATATCTTTCAAGACTAGAAGGTGCCACAATCACTAAGAAGAAAACAACCCAATGATAACCAAGTAATTGGAGCATGGCAGTAACCAATGATTTTGAAGTGATGGAATGCAATTTTTACAGTCCATAAACAAATAGCTCAAAAGAATATAGTTTTCAGCAATCAATGGATTAATATATCTTTCAAGACTAAAAGATGCCACAATCAGTAAGAACAAAATGACCCAATGATAATCAAGTAATTGGAGTATGGCAGTAACCACTGATTTTGAAGTGATGGTATTGGGAAGTCCCACACTGTCTACCTCAATTGGAGTGTGCAGCTTATATATTTTTTGGACAACTTTACTTGATATCAATTGGTTTTAAGATGTATGAGAGAGAGAGATATGAGAGAGAGTTTCAGAGAATTCATGAGAAATAAAAGATAGAGAAGAAGATTGATTAAAATACCTCGTACCAAGCTTTGTTAGATCTTCAAATATGGAAAATCTAGGTGCTTTGTGGCAACCTTTCACACTACAATTGCCTCACCAAATCTCAAGAAATACAATAAGGAGAGAGAGAGAAAAAAAAATTTCAAGCTCAAAGGAGTCTGATACAAAATTTTCTTCTGGCCCTGAGAACTATGCCTAGGTCGTCTATTTATAGACGTCAAAACTGACCAGAACGACCCATTCCAGATTCGGAACGACCCATTCCAGATTCAGAACTGCCCGTTCTGGGCTAGTCTATTATGGGTAAAATTTGAATCTGGAACGACCAGTTCTAGAATTGGAACGACCCATTCTAGGTTCGAATTTTACTCATAACAACCTATTTTGGAACGGCCCGTTTCAAACTAGGGTTTTAGGCCTTTTGAGTAACTTGGAACGGCCCATTCTGAGTTTGGCACGACCCGTTCTAGTTTAGGAACAGCTCATTCCGAGATGGGAAGGCCCGTTTTGATTTTGGAACAGCCCGTTCTAGGCTACTAAAACCAGCTTGTTTGGGTTTTAGGCCTTCCGATGTCGTGTCCTATTGTTTCTATACTTGGGAGCTCCTTTTCTTTGATAATAGACGTCCATTTCATTATTTTTGTTGGTTCGGACGAAATTGGGTGTCTACAGCTGCCCTTCTTTACTTGTCCTTTGGAGTAGCTATATGTTGCTTTTCCAAAGGCAAGTAAAGACGTAGACATTTTGTCCGGGTCTTCTCCTCGTCTCTTTGGTGCTGGCGCTTCTGTGTTATTTCCCTTGGATAGGTGTATTTGCTCATATCCTCGCCCTTTAGAGCAGTTGAGTGTTGGTTGCGTACTTTATTGGGTAACAAGGCTGACAAACTGTACACTTGATCTTTCGTCTTCAAGTAGATGCTCCATTGTTTCTCTTGTGATAGTGCGTTCTTTTATTTGTAGCTTGTTGAAGAATGAGTATTTTCGTAGCTCAGCTTCCCTCACAGCTTTGTTGTATACCGGATTGGGAGGTGACTACCCTCTCTCCAAACCTTTCCCTCACGGCTTTGTCGTATACCGGATTAGGATGTGAGTACCATCTCTCCAGACCTTTCCCTCATGGTTTTTTCGTATACCAGATTAGGAAGTGAGTACCTTCTCTCCAGACCTTTCCCTCATGGCTTTGTCGTATACTGGATTAGGAGGTGAGTATCGTCTCTCCAGACCTTTCCCTCACAACTTTATCGTATATCGGATTAGGATGTGAGTACCGTCTCTCTAGACCTTTCCCTCACGGCTTTATCGTATACCGAATTGGGAGGTGAGTACTGTCTCTCCAGACCTTTCCCTCACGGCTTTGTCATATACGGGATTGGGAGGTGAGTACAGTCTCTCCAGACCTTTCCCTCACAGCTTTTTCATATACCAGATTCAGATGTGAGTACCGTCTCTCCAGACCTTTATTGTATTTGAGGAAACCGTTGGTGCCCTCGTTGATTTGCTTGATTTCTGGTAGATTTTTTATGAATTTCATTTTCTTAGCTTCGGATTTTTCATGTTTGAAGCTTGCCTTTTTCTGCTATTATTTTTTTGAATGCTTCGGCGTTTTTCAACATTTACGAAGCTTGTTTTTTTCTCATGTTGTTGTTTTTTCTCTTTATTGTCATCATTGGTGGAGGGATCTATTCCCATGATGTTATTTGCTGAATCTTTATTAATGAGTATTATTTTGGAAGCCACTCCTAGCTTTGGTGAAGAAACCATTCCTAGTCTTGGCATTCTCTTGGATCATATTTCATTTCGTGAAGAAGTAAGGCGTAGTGGCCTCTTCATGCTTATAGACTTGCTTGTTTGGTCTTTTCCATTCTATTACACTGTCGATATGTCTTTGCTTAGTGGGTACATAGAATCACTTGGGGTTGTCGTTTGACATCTCTTTGGCTCATGGTCGACTATTTAGCTTTTACGAGTGCTTTGTCCTTATGACTCTTTCTGACCCATATCAAGTAGAATGCATGGATGCATGGATGCAATGAAAATGCAAGACAGGAATGATTTTATTATTTATTACTTCCTTTTTTTGTGTAACGCCCTTCCATATGCCCCTACCTCCTATGCATGTGATGCAATTTACGCTCATATGTTTGTTCCTAAACATGCAATTCATTTTTTTTGTTTTTAATGTTGGGAAATTAACCTGTACGCATTAAGGTTAATATTGACGATTCCTCTCAATCCATGCCATTTTTTATTATTGTCGGGATATGTTCCTTTGAACTCTAGGTTTTAGTGGCTCCTTGATTATCTCGTTGATGCGTAGTTAAGCGTCTTCAAACTCCTTTCGAGGACATCTCGGCCTTCCCTCTGCGATTATTCACTGTGCATTTTCCGTGTATCTTTTTGGTACCATTTTAATGTCATAAGGGTCAAGAGAAAAGAAAGAAGGGATGTTCGTATTTTTTTCAAAAGGGTTGTTAGAAGGGATTTTTTTTAAAAGGGATTTTTAGAAGAATGGTTGGTTAAGGTAGGCTTTAGTGTTTAGGGTTATCAAACAAAACGTATTTTTTGCAAGGAAGTTATCATTGTGTTTTATCCTTTTTGTAAAGTGGAGTGATGACTTGGGGTCGTGCTCTAATTGGATGATTCCCGTGAGCCGCCTTTTGATTTTCAACTCAGGTTGCTACTTTAACGTCCTAACTTTTGCCTAGGTCACTTGGGATATGTTCCCTAGAAGACATTTCCTTTTGATCCTTACTTTTGCCTAAGTTACTCTTTTTTGATTGTGGGTCCCCTAGCGGATCTTGCCCTAATTTTGTGCAGCCCTCTTAGTGGGTTTCTGACAGGCTTTCATTTTTGCAGCGTTTGTGTGGGACGCCCTATTTTTATTAAACCCTAGTCATGTTTGAATTCCTGATTGTTCCTTTGTTATCCTTTCCATGCTATTATTGAGTAACATGTTTGTCGCAAATACATTTTGTTTATTAAGGGTT